ATCACAAGAACAGGGGCGAAGAGCTCGACCTGGGCAATTTGCATGGAAGGTGTCACATCGACAAGAAGGGTAGGCGTGAAGTAGTGGCCATGGGGATACTTGGGATGCGCGTATCGCTTTCCACCGCAGATCAGTCGCGCGCCTTGTCGGACTGCATCTTCAATGAGAGATTCCAGCCGATCAAAGTTCGCAGGAGAGATCATGGCGCCGACATCAGGCGTGGTAGGTTTATAGCTGGGATCTCTGGGATCCAGCTTGGAGTCTAACAATATGGAACCCAGACGGAGAGCCTTGATACGCGGCGTGACGATCTCGATAATTTTGTCATATACCCCAGGAAGGGCGATGACACGCTCCACTCCGATACAGTTCTGACCAGCAGACTGGAAGACGCCTCGCATGAGAATCGAAGCGATGGACTGCAGGTTTCGAACGGTGGTGGGATCATCCAGGACGACGAACGGATCCTTCCCTCCCAGTTCCACCGTGACGGGTATCAATGCCTTCGCAGCCGACTCGCAGACCTTGTGTGCGACCGGTCTCGAACCGATAAAGGTCAGCTGAGAGATGTCAGGATGAGAGGTCAACACATCCGCCACCTGCGGCAAGCAGACAACGCATTGGACAAGGTCGCGCGAGTGGCCGCAACTCTCCAGAGCACCCCGAATGATGTCGGTGAAAAAGGTAGCAGACCAGGCTGTGTGCTCCGACGGCTTCACGACGATCGCATTTCCAGCAAACAGGGCACTGATGACGGGGGAGATGAGGTTATGGAACGGGTAATTCCACGACACACATGCGGCGACCACACCCAGCGGTTCATATCGGACCGTGTTCTTCTTGTACATCATGAGGAAGTTCGTCGGCCTCTTTTCGGGGGTGAGCGCTTTTTCTCCATGGTCAATCGTCCACTTGAGCTTCTCAGCTGTCACGAGGATCTCGCCAAAGGACGCGTCCACTTTTGTCTTTCCCGAGTCCAAGCAGCATGTAGTAACGATATCGTCTTGGTGTTCGAGGATATACCTACATGCCACAGCACACTGTCAGCTCCTGTTCATTGCCATTAAGAGATATGATCTCTCCACCCACTTCAGCATTGTCTTGAGAACCCGTCTCCTTTGCGCAAATGTTGTTTGCCCCCATTCAATCTGTGCACGTTTCGCGGCTTGGATGGCACGGTCGACCGACTCGGGAGTTGCCAGGGGAATTCCACCAGCATCAGCACCGAGAATTCTGCCATCTGCAGGGCAGTAGCTCAGGATCCGTTGCGGATTCCATTTCTGTAAATAGACGAAAATATAAATTAGCTGTCTCACGCTTCCTCAAGACACGTTCCGGTTATCCACCACTCACCCCTTGTACCTGGCCCTCCAGAATCTTCTTGTCTTCCCCCTTGACATCGTCCCAGCCCTTGGCCTCCCAGTCCGGTCGAAGCTCTGGCGGAAGCGGCACGTCGAACTTCACAGGCGCCTCTCTGCGTCTCGCGAGGTAGAGGTATCCCAAGTAGATCGTCCCGTACGTGAAGAGCAGTTTCAGTGCAAGTTCAACCAATTGGGAATTGAACTGCAGGCCTTGGCCTTCCGTGATGGAAGGGACTGAGGAACGGAGAAACTCCCCCAGACGGTCCATGGTGGAACTCTGGGAGCAGCAATGGACGAAGCTGTACTGTAGCTTTGCTTGACTGGGATTGTTTTAGGGGCATAATTTCCGCGGGGGCAAAGGCGGTCAGCTCGGGGAGTGGGCGATGGGCCGGCCCGCGACCTACCAGATAACCTGACTCTGGAGTCCACAATACTAACACAAAAATGACTATAAATTTTACTTTTATTGATCGTAGGGAAAGATGGTCTTGGTAGAATCCTTATGAGAAATATAGTTATTGTGAATGGCCTTACAAACACTGATTGCTGCATTACTACTACTGCGATTGATTAAAAATATATAATGAAATCCAATAGGGAACTCTCTCTAAGAAATTATATATTGCGTCTACCTTAAAGCTATGCTGCTAAATAATCTGGACAAATTTCCAGGACATCTCAAAAGTTGTTTAAAAAATAAGGAAAAAAAAAGCGTTGACAGGTTGTAACCGGTTGCAGGCAATCATTCATCAGACATGACATCAGACAACTCCTGTCATTCATCTTCATCCTCACTAGATTCCTTGTTTCCCTTTTCGATTCCGTCTGTTCTTTGGCTGCTTTCCAGTGGTTGACACGAGCGCACCCTTGCGCTTTCCGGTTCTTTTTACCAGGTGATCAATGACACATCCTTCATCCCAGCCCTCACTTCCCTCTCCTGTGATAGCTCGGCATCGGGGACAAATTTTGCCATGTCGGATAAACAACTGATGGAGGGAATACTTGAGATGATCCGGAATGCGCACCTCAAGGTGGCTGAACGCGGTGACCTCGTTGACTCTTTCGGATGGGAGCCAGCCCAGCCATTTGCAGATGCGAAAGATATGCGTGTCCACGGCAAAGCAGGGCCGTTGGAGACAGAACAGGATCACGCAGGCAGCCGTCTTGGGACCAATGCCAGGGTATTTGACAAGTTCAAGCATGGCCTGGTCTTTATCAAGAGCATGGATATAGTCCAGTGACAAGACATTCTCATTAGCGCAGTCGATCTCTTTTTGCTTGGCTGCATCTGTTTCATTTTCTGCACCAGCAGGTCCATCTGCTCCGTCTGTCTCAGCCTTCAACAAAGCGTCCCTGCGCTGCATGTTCTCCTTGTAGACCATGTCTAGGATCTCTTTGATATATCTGCTCTTCATTGCTGCCAGCCCACCACTCTTCATTGCCTGAAAGACATCATCAATTGGGGCACGGCGAACAGCATCCCAATTCACACTTCCCTTTCCGATGCCTTCTTCTAGGACGCCAAACTTCTGGACCAATCCCTGGAATGCTTTGGCGGAATTTCCACTAGTTGTAGCACCACTGAGCAATGTGCGAATCAGAGCATCAAGGACAGAGGGGACTTCACCACATCCTGTTACAGTGAGGGATGGCTGAGGCACAGTGGTCGGGGCATTGATCTCTCCATGAACGGTGGACAACAGTCGGTTGACTTCTTCGCACTCTTCTGGTGTAGGACGAGGAAAATCTGGGAACGGACTGACCCCTGGAGTAAGGCCATAGGGATATCCATTTTTCCTTACTTTCTTCGTCTTTCCCGTGGCGTTAAATTCGGGGTTGGCTTCGAGTACAGGCTTTTGTGTTTCCTCACTTGGCGTTTTGGCAGGCTTCTGGTCGACGGCAAGTGCACGCTCCTGTTTGATGGCAGTAGGGGCCTTGCCCAGATTGTGAGGAAGCTCGTTGATGTCGATCTCTTGAATAATAGAGGCAGAAGTACGTCTCTTCCTTTTTCGACCTACACTCTTCGTTGAGTTCTCAGATACTAGCTCTGACTTTCGTGACGCGGCGTTTTCAGACGTCCTTTGGCTTCTCTCAGTAGAGCTTGGTTCACTGGAAGAAGGCTGCGGAGTACTAGATAGCTGGGAGTTTGCTTTCTGATTCGGAGCCGACAACAAAGCAGCTTCCTTCGAAGTCATTGACCGGGTGACCCGGCGCTCCATGGTCAATGAATTGGAAACAGAGCAGATATTGCGACAGGTAAGTCGTAGGGTACGTAGCCTGAAGTGAGAGATCTAGCTCCCAAAAGATGGAAGCTCAAGGATGAGGCTGGTTTTTACCTGATTCCTATGATTGAGGTATGGAAATCGCTGGCGAGGATGCCTGGAGCTGTCGCCTACCTCACGACACGTGATTTAGGGTTTTGCAGGGCGGTGAGAATCGCAGTTGCTTAAAACGATTTAAGGTATTTTATATTCACCAAAATTTAGAAAGACCCAACCTAACTCCCATTTATATGCAATAACACAAAAACCTCCCGTTTTGTCCTATATGCGCATGACTCAAAGACATAACAGTGACGAAAACCGCCTAACTTGCCCCAACTGCTAGAAAAAAGCACAATTCTCCATAATCATCCTAAATTGCTGCAAAAATGCAAGACTCATACCACTTGATTTTGTTTCGTCATACATAGTCCCCAAGATTGTGGATGCTGACATCCATCCGGTCTTTCACTTTAGGAACTTCCTCTGCCTCTCCGTTCTCTTCATATTTGAAGGCCCCGCGCGCCTGACTCAGGCTGGCCGATGGGACTTGGGACTCACGAGGAGATGAGGCAGGGACAACGCGACCATCGCTGTCCAACTTGACACCGTTTGCGGCGATTTGAAACTCACGCTCTCCGGCAACACCGTTCAGAATGGCTTCTTTCGCCTGGTCCAGCACTTTGAGTTTGCGACCTTCGCCTCGGACTTTCTCCAAGTGCTCGAAGTAACCCTCTCTGACTGGAGTTATGTATTTACCGCAGAAGACACCAACCTCAAATTTGTTGGGTTCTGAAAGGCCATTTTCTTTGGCAACTTCGGCGCAGGCATCTACGAGGTCGTCAAGGGTCTGATAAATCACGCTGTCCGCGCCGATATGCCTGGCGATATCCTTGGCATCCCGATTATGAGCGACCAACTCGTGGGGAGAAGCCAAGTCAATGCCATAAATGTGGGCGTGGCTGTTGCACCGTCAGAAGAGTAGTCGAAGCTAAGGGGGTCTTTGAGGGAACTTACGTGATAGGAGGCGCGCAGCTAGCAAAGTGCACCTTCTTGGCACCTGCTTCCCGTGCCATGGAGACGATTTCACGACTCGTCGTTCCGCGTACTATGCTGTCATCAACGAGCAGCACATTACGATCCTTGAATTCAGATTTCATGGCGTTCAACTTTCGGCGAACACCTTTCTGTCTGATTTTCTGTTCCGGCATGATGAATGTCCGGAAGACATAGCGGTTCTTGACGAAGCCTTGACAGTAGGGCTTGTCCAGATAGCGTGCTACACTAGCAGCTGACGTATTGGAAGTCTCTGGGATGGGTATAACAACGTCAATTTCTTTTACGACCTCAGGCCCGAGAACATCGAGCACGCGCGCAGCAAGACGGTCACCCATCCGCTGGCGGCTTCGGTAGACGCTTATGCCGTCAATAACCGAATCAGGTCGTGCAAAGTAGACGTATTCGAAGATATCCGGAGCGTATTCCTTCTTTTCTGCGACCTGGCGGAATACAGGCTCCCCACCCTTCTCGATGATGACTGCTTCTCCAGGTTGAATATCGCGAATGTTTGTGAATCCTAGCTGGTCGAGAGCGACAGATTCTGACGCCATCATGTAGTCCATGCCCTCACCATCAGCTGAAGGACGAGACCCCAGAACCAGCGGACGGATACCATAGACATCACGAAAACCCAAGACGCCAAAACCAGCCAGCATTGCTGTGCAAGCCCAGCCACCTTCACAGCGGTTATACATCCTGCTGAGGCCAGCGAAAATGTCCTCTTTGTTGACACGTGCCTTCCTTGTGACACCCAACTCATCAGCGAAGATGTTGAGCATCAACTCGCTATCACTATCCGTATTGATGTGGCGATGGGCCTCCAGGTCGAGATATCGCTTGAGTTCTGGGGCATTGATCAGGTTCCCGTTATGGGCCAAGCAAATGCCATACGGGCTGTTGACGTAGAACGGTTGGGCCTCAGCATTCGCACTGCTACCCGCTGTCGGATATCTCAAATGGCCGATACCCATGGAACCTGGCAGATCAGCCACCCTGGCGCCGTCTTGGAAGACTTTGGCTGCCATGCCATTGGACTTCAATTGGAAAATCCGGCCACCGGACGCGCACGTAGCAATGCCTGCGGCATCCTGTCCCCTGTCTTCACCGCCGTACAAGTAAGCCGAGGAGTTCAGACATGTTATATAAAGAAGGACCCATTGTGCAAGGACTCGTGGTATTCTCAGGAATTGGCTCCAGAGGTATGGTCACTCACGTTGGAGGAGATACAGCGCCTCGTGAAGGTCGACCGCGGCGGCACCCTTAGGGTTCGCCAAGATAAGAGCGAGGATCCCACACATTTTGATTAGGAGACGCGAATCTGGTCAACTCATCAAGACGGTTAGCATCGTGCAAGGAACCAAAAAAGAAAGAAGAGTCAGCAATAGGAAGCTGAAATCATAGAATTCAGATTGGGTATATCTCCTCAATGATGTTTCGGAAGTCTAACATCTATTTTTGAAACGATCATCATGGAAAGAAACAATACCATCATAACCGAAGAGCCGAAAGCGAATCTGACTTACCCTCCGCAAAAATCCTTCACCAAGGGTGGGGTGTCACGATCTCCGGGGAGGGGAACAAAGCAGGGATGAATTTTCACTAGACAGACCCGGAGAGGCACATTGTGCAACACAGTCCGGAGGAGGGGTCACCAGAGCTCAACTAGCAGAGCACCCACAAGAGGGGGAAATAAGGGAGGGAAACAAGAGGAGGAGAAAAAGTGAAGGAAAACGGTGATCTCTTCCACGGAGGGACGCCATGGGGATTTCTCCACCGTTAGTTCAGGATCGCGAGCCAGATTTTTTTTTCTTCTGCCGTTTTCTCCGGGTGCAAAGAAAAAGGCGCGATGCAGGTGATTGGCTCTGGATCAATACTAATTCCGATGCCGAACCATGTAAATTCCGACCAATCAGCTGTCATCCATTACTGAACTATATCTGTTGAAGCAACTTTCAGCATCGTCTCTACGCTGTATCCAATTTGTTTCTTCTTGATATGAGCAGCTGGTCTCTTCTGATGACAAGATGTCACTTTTCGATCACATGTTTCTTCAGTTCTTGCAATTTCCTTCTGACATGATAACCTTGGCTGATCATGGGCCACATTTTCTTTATCCCATCTTTGTATTTCAAAGAGTTTTGTTGGGCTGTGATGCTTTGTGATTTTTGTTTACTTTTGCTTTGTTCTTATTTTGTTTCTTTGCAGCTCTCAAAGCTGAAATTCTTACAAATGTCTTGCGACAAAGGGCTTATTTGTCCTACAAAGAGACATTTTGGATGGCTTCACCAGCAGCCCTCTTGTGTGCTTGGGCATAGCTGCCCATACATATCCTTTATCACATCTATGTCTTTGTGCTAGGATCATTGATCTGGCCCATCCAAGATATGGCAGATTGTACTGTTCCTAAATTTGCATCTGCATGCTTCTCCCTTTCAACATGTCGCTGGCCAGATGTCTTTTAACTCTGGTGCTCATCAGCTTTTTCTCACTGGAGCCTCTAGGACATATGAATCTCCTTCACTTCTATGAAGGCAGCGACAAATTTACTCAATGCCCTCCTAATACTTGGTGTGTTGCAAAATTTTCACTCATTCTCACACTTCCCTTATCATCATCTTCTCTTTCCCTCTCTTTCACCTCTCCGAGGACCTGTGCTCTGCAAGAACAACCAAGGCTGTGTCAGAGAAGTCAGAGAGACATCAGCATATTACTGTGGCACCCAGCTTAATCAGAAGAGTTGGTATAGCCACTCTGAAGTCCTCATTTTCTGTTTTCTGAAATCTCACTCTCATTATTTGTCCTCAAATATCAGAGCAGAGCCATCTCACTGTCTTTTCATTCTCCAATCTCCTGCGTTTGAGCAATATGGCTTCTATTGCGCCACATGGAAGGTTTCATGGCCGTATGGTTATTGAATCTGTCTCTGAAAGCATTCGCCGTCACCATGTTATCAGAATAGACAGTGATGGAAGTACCTCCAAGCTGGCCAATGATGCAGGCAGTAAAGGAAGAAAACACTATGGAACTAAGGATATACCTGTCGTTGACCTGACTGAGGAAGACCGAGATGTTTTCTTCGGTAAGACTTGTGGCCACCAGAGGGAAATCCCTGAGCAGGCACACACATCGAACGTCAGTCAATCGTCGCCGGACGTTATAGATTTGATAAGCGACTCCGAGTCCGAGTTCGACCCTGGCGACTACCTGACGGACGAGGGAATCGAGGAACTCTTGCGAAGCTGGAACGATGAGCAGCCAGCGTTCGTGGCAGCACCTCCATCGCGGAGGGTGGTAAGCTTCACCTTCTACACTGGCATGATCTTGGAGCCGGGCATGTCAGTCGAGCTTTGCACGGGCAGGTTTCTTCGAATCGACCAGGTGGTCGAGGACGATCAGGGTATTTTTCTGCGGGGCAAACATTTCGCTACGCTCGAAAGCCTGGGCAGTCAGTTTCCAAAGTGGAAGAGAGAACTGTGCTGGGTCGTGAGAGAAACTCCCGATGGAGGAGAGGTGCCGGATGAAGATGTGCCCGTTACGGAGGTGAAGAGGATTCGGACGATTCACCTGACGAACCGTCGCCATACCGATCCCAACGGCACCCAGACACCACACTCGTGCGCCTATTTTTGCCGTCTCAAACGATTGAGTGTCTCTAATACTGACGTCGCCATTCGTTACCTGACGCCCGAGGAAGCAGACGAAGGCTTTAAAGTGCCGTCGGCTCTTCTACGGTCCAACTGGAGGGGGGAGACGCGCCCTTTTGGCAGCATTGATAAGCCGGCCAGAGAAATTATCGACGTCGATACTGGACGCTCTGTGCAATTGCCTGTCGACTCGAGTGACGAAAACACAAGACAGTACTCGTTTGGAGACAGCTTTTGCGGAGCAGGAGGAGTGTCGTGCGGCGCGAGAGAAGCTGGTTTATACGTCAAATGGGGATTCGACCACAATCCGGCGCCGGCGTCGACGTTTGCGATGAATTTCCCAAACGCCCTCTGCGAACTTGCCGATTTCTCTGAATTTTTGACCATGTCGTCGAAGGAGATACGGGTGGATGTCTGCCACAGTTCGCCGCCATGCCAGACCTGGTCTGCGGCGCATACGATTGAATCAGCGAATGACGATAAGAACTCGGCGCTGATCTTCTCGGCCTTCAACCTGATCGGGAAAATCAAGCCCCGGATTCATACGATGGAGGAGACGGTCGGGCTGATCGAGCGGCACAAGGAGGAGTTCAACTGTATTGTGCACGACATCATCGAGCTGGGGTATTCCATCCATTGCAAGGTGGTCAACTGCTGTGACTATGGAGTTCCGCAGAAGCGAAAACGGCTAATTTTGATCGCAGCTGGGTAGGTCTTAAGTCCTCGAAAGAGGCGAATTCGTGGAAAGAATTTCCTGCTGACAAGTGTATGCAGACCGGGCGAACAACTCCCACGATTCCCGAAGCCAACCCACGGCCCTCCAGGATCTGGTCTGCAGCAATATGCGACTATTGCGTCTGCCATCTCTAACATACCCGCCAACGCGGAGGACCACGATGTGCAACGAGCACTGGAACGCGGGTTTCGCTACGGACACAAAGCGCCTTACGACCCGAATACCTGGGCCAAGACGATCACCTGCAGCGGGGGCGAAGGGAACTACCATCCGAGCGGGAAGCGCAACTACACGAATCGAGAGTACGCATGTTTGCAGACGTTCCCGATGGACTACAAGTTCTACGCCAAGGGGGTGGTCAAGCAGATCGGCAACGCGGTTCCGCCGCTTCTGTCGCAGACGATTTACCGGGCGATCATCCAGTCTTTGCGCGAGACGGACGAGGCAGAGATGCGGGCTGCACGGGCGGAGGCAGAAGAACGGGCAGCACGGACTATCTCACTCCTCTGACTGAGTTTCGAGCATGGACAGCGTGTTTGACTGTGTTTGTCATGTCAACGTAGTACATTATCTCACACGTTTCGTTCGAGGAGCTTGGTGAAGATTACTGTGACTTGGATCATCCTTCACATCATTTCTGACCGGACACATTGCATCAGAACATGCATTGTCTATGATACCAGACATTGTTGACATGGATATTCTCACATGATATTGGCATTGATTCATTATGGAGACACTACAACACTGATGTACTGTACTTTTTTTTTTTACCAAGGAACTACTGATATTGACATCACATCGAAAGCGTTACTGTTGGACTTGCAGGCGGTTAAGTTGAGGGATAGCTAGATAAGAATGTGGAAATATATCCATGGAATGGATGCTTCTGTGTAGGCAGATAATCGGATAACCCTGATTGGTCGAATCAATCAACCAACGATCATACAGTAATTAATTAAACTGTCAGCAAGATTCAGAGTGAGATGGGTGGAGAAGATGACCAGAAGGAGAATATGACCGACAACTTTCGTCTAATTAAATTAGAAGAGAAGCGAAGAGAAGGAGACTTCAGTCTCATCATGATGGTCAACAGAGAAATGATGCCATGCAAGGCTCGAGCTAGCAGATCTCCGGTAACGCGTGTTGGATAACTCGCGTCTCCGCGAGTTTACACTTGACAGCGAGTATACTGCCGCAAATCGGATCTCCGATCAGGCGGTAAGCAATTGAGTAAACTGCTCCATAAACAATACTCTGCGGTTTCGGAGAGGCCATTATTATTCGGAGAAGCAGAGGAATGACTGTTTTGAAGATCCGCCGATAACCGCTGGTCCGCGGAACGCGGAGAAGAGACCTCGGCAGATCCGCAACGTCACGGCGACTTCAACCCCAGCCAGAGCATAGCTAGCAAGGAGCTCAGGCTAGCCCAGGTACCTACTCCCTTGGCTGTTCTTTTGCAGCTCTCTCCCCGAGCAGCAGCTTCTGCACCCTAGAAAAGGTCTCAATTGTCCGGTCCTGTGTGCATTTAGATCGAGATTCATCGCCATGTCGGCCGCGGGCTCAGCGCTGCGACGGCTCAGCCAGCGGGTTGCTCCCCGCACTCTGACGCTTCCATCCCGCATCGTCGCCCCCGCTCTGTCGCGCTCCCTGCTTCTCCCCAACTGTACCAACGCCCTCAAGGCGACCTCTGCTGCATCTGCCTCGCGATTCTCGACAATGGCTGCCCTGCGTGCTGCCGCGCCTCCCGCGCTGGAGAAGGCCTACGATCCCGAGATCAGGGACTTGGCCCACTACATCCACCACTACAAGATCGAGTCTGATCTGGCGGTATGGTCAACGCCTTCAGAGTGAGGTTAATTCTCTGCTGACAGCCTGCAGTTCGATACCGCCCGTCTGGTCTTCCTCGACACCCTGGGCTGTGGGCTCGAGGCTCTTCGATTCAGAGAGTGCACGAAGCTCCTCGGTCCTGTAGTCGAGGGCACCGTCGTCCCCAATGGCACTCGGGTTCCTGGCACGCCCTACCAGCTGGACCCTGTCAATGGCGCCTTCAACATCGGTGCCATGATCCGATGGCTCGACTACAACGACTGCTGGCTGGCTGCTGAATGGGGTCATCCCTCCGACAACTTGGGCGGCATCCTGGCGGTGGCAGACTGGATCTCGCGCACCAACCGCGCCGGCGGCAAGCTGGGAGAGGGCCGCGTGCTGAAGGTGCGGGATGTGCTGGAGGCCATGATCAAGGCCCACGAGATCCAGGGCGTGCTGGCGCTGGAGAACTCGTTCAACAAGGTCGGTCTGGACCACGTCGTCCTGGTCAAGGTGGCCACGACCGCCGTGACCGCCAAGCTGCTGGGTCTGAACGAGCAGCAGACGGCGGATGCTATCACCCACGCGTGGGTGGACGGCCAGAGCCTGCGCACGTACCGTCACTCGCCCAACACCATGTCGCGGAAGTCGTGGGCGGCGGGAGATGCGTGCCAGCGGGCGGTCAACCTCGTGCTGAAGGTGCTCAAGGGTGAGGGTGGCATTCCGACGGTCTTGTCTGCGCCGGGATGGGGCTTCTACGACAACTTGTTCAAGGGCAACAAGTTCAAGTTCCAGCGCCCGTACGGCAGCTACGTGATGGAGAATGTGCTGTTCAAGGTGTCATATCCTGGTATGCATGCACCTTTTTTTTGGCCCCCCTTTTTTTTTTAAGACGCATGACTGATGAGTTGCTAGCTGAATTCCACTCCCAGACGGCCATCGAGGCCGCCCAGATCATTAACAAGAAGCTCGCGGAGATGGGCAAGACTGCGGCGGATATCAAGGAGATCACCAACCGCACGCACGAAGCCTGCATCCGGATCATCGACAAGCAGTTCAAGCCCATGGACAACTTTGCGGACCGCGACCACTGCGTTCAGGTGAGTATGCATTCAGCTGGATTTCTGGAATTGCTACTAACGCGGTTTAGTACATGGTGGCGACGATGCTCGTCTTCAACCGGCTAACAGCCAACGACTACGCCGACGGCTCCGAGGCCGCCACATCGCCGCTGGTAGAGGACCTGCGCAAGCGGATCCGCTGCGTCGAGGACCCGCAGTTCACCAAGGACTACCACGACCCGGCGAAGCGGACGATCCCGAACGCGCTGACGGTGACGCTGAACGACGGCACCGTGCTGGACGAGGTAGTCGTCGAGGCGCCGCTGGGCCACCGCCTGCGCCGAGAGGAGGCCAAGTCCGAGATCCTGGCCAAGTACAAGCGGCACCTGGAGGCGCACTTTGACGCCGAGCGCGTCAAGTACCTGCTGGAGCTGGGCTGGAACCGGGCGGAGCTGGAGAATTATGACGTGGACAAGTATGTGGATTTGTATGTGAAGGAGGAGATGGTGGAGGCGCATTAGCATAAAAAAAAAGCATGAATATGAGTATAAAATATTTGTGAAGTATTTATAGATTTGCGAGTTTGTTTTGAAGCGAATTAAATTCTAGAATTCGAACAGCTTGAGATAATAGCATCAATTGAATATACAAGATACAGAATATCAGACAGAGTCCAGGGAAGTATAACCAGAGAGAGAAACAGTGAATTTAGCCATAAATCTTAGATTTACTAAATTAAAAATAAAAAAAAACCAATATCTATCTATGCACGTGTGTACAGTGGGGGCGCAAAAGTTTTTTAGCCGATGCCATTTTTATACTAAAAATGGCCAACTTCGACCTCAAATGACTTACCACATTATATATTAAAATATCTTAAAATTAATATTTTTGTGTAGGGAATTTCATAAATAATAAAAATTAACTAAAAATATTTTAGGAAATATATATATTATTAAATAGTATAAGATTAAAATTTGACTTCAGATATGGCTTTATAAGGGGTATCTTAGATTATATTAAAACCCCCTTTATTTTTAGATTTTAAACAAAGAAGATAATAAATCATACTTAAATAAATATATATTTATATATTTTTTTATAAAAATAATAAAGGTTGCATAAATTATTTTTAACTCTTAGTTTTAGTAGAAATTGACCTAAACTTTACCTAGCTACAAAAATCCTAATATTAAGAATAAAAAAATATTTTTATAAATAAGTTACTCCTATTAAATATCTATAACTTATATATTTTTAATATTAAAATTATAATCATTTTTGTTGTTTATTATAAGGTCAAAGTTGGCCATTTTTGGTGTAAAAATGGCATCGGCTAAAAACTTTTACGCCCCCACTGTACAGTACAGAATACATACATTAGATTTCTCATGAATCTCAACAACATTAATCAATCAACAGGCACTTTCCATCCAAAAGCAAGAAAAAAAAAAGAGGAAACCAACCAAGAGGCAGGTTAGTACAGACTTCCATGCCAATTGATTTGATTTGATTTGATTATTGCTGTGGAGGAGGCCAGTTTTACGAAATATAAGAAGAAGGTTCTTTCTTAGCTCAGAAAAGAAAGAAAAGAAAAAAATAAATCAGTGAGTGGGATTGATTGATCAACAGAGCTATTATTCGGAATGTATCTGACCTAACCTAAACCTGAATAACTGCCTGGAAGCCTGGAAAAGACCAAGCAAGCAAGCAAAGGCAAGGAAAGCAGAAGTGAATAGAGAATAGAATATATGTGCCTAAACTCTAGAGTGATAGCTAGTCAGGGATAATGGATTGGATCGGATACTATATAGCGTGATTTAATATACATCTTACACAGTATACGGTATATGTTACTACCTAATTACCTAACTAACTACTACCTAACTACCTAGCTACCAACTATTACTAGCAATGACCGATCAATCAATCAATAATGATTCCTAAGCAATGCAATCTACCTTCGAACTGGACTGGACTGTCTGGTCTCCATTCCTGATTCCTCTCTGGGAGAAAATATTGGCATAGGATTCATTCCTATAGCCTATGAAGTACGTACTTACAGATTTTAACCTTTCTGCAATAATTTTTTTCTGAGTGTACGTATAGTTAATAGCAGAGTTTCTTTTTCTTCTTCTTCTTCTTCTTCTTCTTCTTTTTCTTCTTTGTTTTTTTTCTTTTTCAATGCGTCTCGTTCTCTCCCTTTCTCTCTACTCCTTCTTTTCTGTGGTAATGGCTGACTGGCTACCTGCTACATGTAGCTATATGGTCTCTGTCTCTGTCTCTGCTTCTCTCTGTCTTGTGACATTGAACAGTCATACATACACATACATCCACATAGAACTATGGATGACCTGCATTCAGGCAGGTTGTATTACTACCGACAGCGGCCACGGCTGGCGGTATTATTTCAAGAAGAAGAAGAAGAAGAAGAAGAAGAAGAAGAAGAAGAAGAAGAAGAAAAGGCATTTCCAAAAAGAAAAAGAAAAGAAAAAAAAGAAAATTTTGATGCTGAAATTCCTCTTGTATATATAGATATATATGTGTGTGTGATAAGTTTGGACTCTTTCTTTTGTCGGCGATCTCTGTGTTTGCTCACCATCCGTCGCCGGATGCGGAAGACCTCAGAGCTCTGGCACAAAGAGACAAGATCTATTTTTGACCTCTTTGTATGCCTACAGGCATAAATATGGGCTCAAATCCCCCAGGAGACTTTCTTCCTAGATTATTCCTGTTTACTAGAGTGCTAGTATCAATACAGACTGGATCTTTGCCTTATGGCTGACTGCCTGTTTCGCTGACACTTTTAACAGGTACCCTACAGTATATATATTTAGAACAAGTAGTTTAACCAAAGAGAGAAAAGAAGGAACTGACTATTTCTTTCACTAAGGTGCATTTCATGCACACATAGGCCTTTCTTTTTCAAGGTAATGCAATTCTTCAGCGCTTTGCATACAACAACTACATAGGACAGATTGACAGAGACACCACAGTACCTTTGTGTAAGCCCTAATCCTGCCACATGCTGAAGGTAATATCAACATGATGCATCCTTCCTATTCTTCTTTTTTTTATTGTTTTTTTTTTAAGACAATTCCTTTCAGTCTGCACCTGCACAGGGAAAGCTTTGTTCTGAAATAGATCCTGCAGACAATAGATAGATAAACATACACAGAACATTGGAGGTCTCCTGCTGTCTACTACTGTCATTCTCATCCCCTGTGCAGCTATCACATCGGACGGATGCAATACAACACCCATCAGGGACATTTCCCTCCTAGGCAAGCAGGCAAGCAAGCAACAAGCATCTTCTGTCCGTCCCCGTCCTGCCGCGTTGTATCGTGTCACATCACACAGTCCGCCCGTCACAGCCAGTTTCATCCGGAAGATGCCGTCTAAGGGGTGTAAGATGCGGAAGGTTTATTGCGGAATGAACCGATAATGGATGGATTCTCCCTGCTGGTTTTCTTTTGTACAACCAGGATCGGATGTTTTTGGTGGTTTCTATCCGTGGAATTCTCTGCTTTTCTGGCTGATGGCTGGTTTGTTGGCTGGTTTGTTATAAATGGGTTAATCAGGGCATTCCCTGTCCAGACTGACTGACAGATCATGTTGTGAGTCTGCTGGCTTGGTCTTCATCTTCTTCTGTTTTTCTGTTTTCCTGCCCAGGTGATAAATATCGTCCTCGTCATTCCTCCATCGACTGTCAATACAGCTGACCGGTCTTCGACTGCTCAGCCAGCATGGCGATGGCGCTGCAAGCATGGTCTCTTCTCAGGTCTCTTCTCCCCAACAGCTCTCTGGCAGCAGTCCTGCTGGCAACGATACTCATCCTCACCTACACCGTCACCTCGATCAAGGGCCACCTGACAGCGCGGCTGAAGCCAGAACATCGCCGTTCGCCGCCCACGCTCCCCTACGCGATTCCCTTCCTGCGCCATCTCCCCCAGTGGCTGATCGATGAGAAGGGCTTCCTGAGTCGAGCCATGTGCGTATCCTCGTTTGCCAGTCGATATTCATGTCTGACGTCTGTTTAGGACCTGCTACAGCGCATACACCCCCGTGCGCGTCCACTTGGGCAACCGCTCGTTCTTCGTCCTCTCGGGCCCCAAGACGATATCGTCTCTGTTCAAGAACTCCAAACGCCTCGTCAGCACCCAATGGCTCGTCGGCATCCTGATCGTCGTCTTCGGTCTCCCCCCCGCAGACGCCCCTCTGTATCTCAACGACGACACGGGCTACGGCGTCCAGCCCGTCGAGGGCGCGAAGATGACCAACCCGGACCTGCGCATCTTCTACCTCGCCCACCGCTCGCTCTACGCCTACATCGCCGGCCCCGGTCTGGACGCTATGGCGCGCCAGCTCGTCTGCAGCCTGGCCGAGCAGATCGCGCAGTGCCCGCTCGCCGACGACGACTGCTGGACCGACGTCCCCGACCTCTACGCCGGCTTGATCCGCAAGATGACCTTCAAGGCGTCCGTCACGGCCCTCTGCGGCGCACACATCTTCACCATCAACCCGGACCTAGACGAAGATTTCTGGGCCTTCGACGCGGCCACGCTGTCTCTCATGCGCTGGCCATCCTGGCTGGTGCCAGGGGCCCGTCGGGCAAGGGAGAAGATGAAGCTGAACATGACGCGCTGGCACCGGTTTGCGGAGCAGCATTACCATTACGACGGCGACGGCGACGACCCGCGCGACTGGGAGGAGTTCTTCGGCAACAGGATCATGCGCATGCGCAATCGCATCTATCGCAAGCTGCCGCTGAGCGATGAGGCGTATGCGGCGGAGGATGTGGGCATGTTGTGGGCGTAAGCAGAAGCACTTTATCAGACACAGCGTCTCCTTGCTAACTATCCAGGGCCAACGCCAACGCCATCCCCGCCGTCATCTGGATGCTGCTAGAGATCGTGCAGCGGCCGGAGCTGCTGGCGCGCGTGCGGGCAGAGATCGCGCCGTATATCACGCACGACGCTGCCGATGCGAGCAAGATTTCCAGCGTCGACATCGCCGGGCTGTGCAGCATTCCTCTCCTGCAGTCCATCTACGCGGAGGTGCTGCGGCTGCAGGTCGGTATTGTCCTGCCGTGGATGGCGGCGGACGAGTTGCGGATCGAGGGCTGGAGCGTGCAGGAGGGCGAGACGGTCATGGCGTCGACCTGGCATGCAGGACGCGATCCGCTGGTGTGGAATACAGGCAGTGTCGACGATCCCCATCCGGTGGACGAGTTCTGGGCCGAGCGGTTTCTCGTGAAGAATGACGGCGTCCACATGGGGCCGGTGAGGAAGGCTGAAGAAGAAGCCACTCCGTCATGTCCTCACAAGCAGCCTTTTTCTTCTTCTGCCTCAGACAAGTCTGCTGCAGCAGCACAGCAATGCAGCTTCACCCTCGCCGGCACCGCCGGCACCTGGATCCCCTACGGCGGCGGCCTCAAGCTCTGCCCAGGCCGGCATTTCGCGAAGCAGGAGATGATCGTCGCGTCGGCCATGTTCCTGACGGCATTCGATATCGAGCTGACAACAAACAAACGTATCGTGCCGGATGAGCGGTTCTTTATGTTTGGCGTTTTGCCTCCGAGGGGGAGGATTGGGAGTAGGATTAGGAGGAGGGTGCCTCCAAAGACCCACGCAGGTACTGTACATGTGTACAGTACAGGACAGATGAGTGAGAGAGGTCGAGATTGATTTGCTTGCTGTATGTACGTACGTACAGTACTGTAGTACATTTCTTTCAAGATTGATCGATTGATTGATGAAGTTGTCAGCATTCTACCAAGCTTACGAATGTAGGTACAGTACAGCTCAATACATAGGTTGGTAGATAGATTAAGGACAACAAAAAAAAAGCTTGGAATTATTCTATCATATTTCCATCTCATCTCATTCATCTATCTCTATCTCATCACGTACAGTACGTCATCTGCCTTGGTCTCTTCCCTTCCATCAATCGAAAAGTATGTACATACAGTACCATGCCGAACTGAACAGTAAGCACTCACTCATCATGCCTGATGTTAACTTAAACCCTATGCTCAAAATAGACTTTTTTTACGTTAAAAAAAGGGGGGGGGGGGGGGGACAGAAAAAAAAAAGAAAAAAACAAGACAAGAAAAGAAAAATAAGTGTGATTGCCGGATGCTGATTGCTGCAGAATAGAATCTTGAATTCCGGACCGATAATAACAATTAGATAGTAATAGGTAAAGAAAGAAAAAGACCTCGGTATTGCTATCAGCTAGTATGTACATACACGTATCCGATGATGATTAGATAGGAGATAGGTCTGTACAGTTTCTTGTGCTACCTGGTATGTATGCATGTATATACCTGCAGGTATACAGGCAGAGCAGTCTTCTTGGCTGTACATTTGAAAATCGAGATCGAATTGTTGATAACGATTCTGAAGCATCTGAAGAAGAAAGGTGGAAAGATAAAAAGAATCACATTTACATCATTCGTCACTCATACTACATACGTATATAAGAGTATACATAATATAACGAACAAATATGCATACATAAATGACAAGCTAGATCCGTCGTAATCACAATTTCGACTTATTCAACCCAGCACTCTGCTTCTGCCTCGCCCACTGCCTAATCGCATCCACCAACTCGTCAATCTCAGCTTGCGTGTTGCCCGCATGCAGACACACGCGCACCCGCTCCCTCCCCCGCGGCACCGTGGGGGCCATGATGGCGCGCACGACGAGTCCGCGGCGCTGGCAGTGGCTGGCCAGGTCGCGCGGAGACGGCGTGCGCAGCGAGAAGATGGGCGAGTGGTCGTGGTGGTCGACCTGGAGGAGCGAGGGGTCGATTGCAGCTTGCAGCTCGTCGCAGCGCGTGCGGAGGTAGGCGATCAGAGATTGGAGATTTTCTCGGAGCTGTCTTGCATCAGTAGCTGCTTGGAAAAAAAAAATCTATAAAGGATACATACAGAGTCCGTTTTCCCCTCCTGCATCAATTCGTAGGACGTGCGAACGGCCACGAGCGACGGATATGCCATCGCCGTCGTGTAGATGAGGGTGCGGGCGTAGTTGATCAGATATTCCCGAGTCAGCGGACAACACAGGACAATGGCTGAATCAGTCAGTATCTGCCAAACGGTCAAGTGGAGATAATGTTCAGACCTCCGTGACTAGCCAGAGCCTTTCCAAACGTGTGCGTCCTGATAAAAACCTGCTTCTGAACCCCCAATTCCTGCACGATGCCTGCCCCCCGCGGCCCAAAGACGCCCGTCGCATGGGCCTCGTCCACAATCAGATAGCCGTTCCCGCGAGGAAGAAGGCTGTGAATAACGTCAAGGATCTCCCGCAGCGGAGCCGTATCGCCGTCCATGCTGTAGAGCGATTCCACGGCGACGAAGACATTGCGTTTGGCGTCCGCAATCAACGGGTCCTCCGCCATCTGCGATGCGAGAACCTCTCTCAATGCTGCCGCCGAGTTGTGCCGGAACGACACCCGCTTGCCTGCCCGCGACAGCCGCATGCCCTCGTGCACGCTGGCGTGGATCATCTCGTCGTAGACAATCACATCGCCGGGCTGCGGGACGCAGGAGAAGACGCCGACGTTGGCGTCGAAGCCCGAGTTGAACAGCAGGCCGCAGGGGGCATCGTGGAAGGCGGCGATGAAGCGCTCGAGCTCCTCCGCATACGCCGAATTGCCGTCGAGAAGCCGCGAGCCGCCGGAGGCGAGCGGCTGATTGTCTGTCGTTCTCGAATTGAGAGCCTGGAGATACCGCGTCCGCAGCAGCGGCGACGTCGACAGCGACAAGAAGTCGTTGGACGAGAAATCGACGGCGCCCGGAGGAGGCAGCGTCAGCCTGCGGCGCGAGGACTTGGCCTCTCTCTTCTCCAGGGCCTGGTGGAAGGATTCGAGCAGCGAGGGCATTTCGGCGATGCCAGAGCCAGAGCCATCGCCCTATCCATTGCGGGAAAAGCCCGCGCCATAGCTTTTATCTTATTCTTGAAGGATCGATCGAAGCTGCAGCCGAGGACCGACCGGTCTCGGCTGTCAGAAGCAGATCTGTGGGGAGAGGAGAATAGCGATGAATCATGCTGGATCAGCGTTGGGCTGTCTCCACAGGCTGCGTCTGCTGCTTCTCTGCCAGGGGCGCCAGACTAATGAAAAAAAAGGTTGGGAACAGCCCGGTGGGCCTGCCAGTGCAGACAGCAGAAGAAGAGGCCTGCAGACAAATCAGCGAGGCGTGAAGCTATATTAATGGGCTTGGTTCCGATGGATCCGCGCGCGGACCGGATCTGGGCAGCCTCACTGAGTCGATACATGCATAGAAGGACGGCACAGGCAGTCGACGAGGTTGGAATCTCTCGATTACACACACAATGCCTCCAGGCGCTGCGCTGTGGCGTTCTCTGCGCGCACACCAGGTGTACGGCGCCAACACCGACGTCGGCAAGACGATTGCATCGACGGTGCTGTGCCGCGCGCTCGATCGCCGCGACAGGCACCGCGTGGGCTTTCTGAAGCCGGTGGCCACGGGGCCGCTGGACGAAGCGGACGACAGGTGGGAAGAAGAGAAGAGTTGCGGAGAAATTTATTAACGCAAGACAGACACATCGAGCGCTTTGCCCCCGGCGTGCGCACGCAATGCCTGTTCCGCTTCGGCGAGCCCGTCAGCCCGCACATGGCCGCCCAGCAGGTATGCAGTGTAACATAGCCCATTATTCCAGCCCATTATTCGATTACTGACACTCTGCAGGCGCCTCCCGACGACGAGGTCCGCAGCGCCGTGCACCGCACGCTGGCCAGCTGGGCGGCCGCCGGCCTGCGGCACGCCCTGGTCGAGACGGCCGGCGGCGTGCACTCGCCCGGCCCTAATGGCAATTCGCAGGCTGATCTGTACAGGCCGCTGCGGCTGCCAGTTGTACTCGTGGCTGATGCGCGTCTGGGGGGCATTTCGGCCTCGATCGCGGCGTTCGAGTCGCTACTGGTCCGCGGCTATGACGTGCACTCGGTGCTGCTCTTCCAAGACGACTACTACCGCAACCACGAGTATCTGCAGGCCTTCTTCCAGAAGCGCCAGATCCCCCTGCTGGCCTTCCCCCGGCCGCCGGCGAGGCCCGCCGTGGCCGACGCGAGCGCCCGGGCCCGCGACGAGGAGGCCATGTTTGCGTACTACGACGACGTTGCACGGAGATCCGATGTCGAGGGCCTCGTGGAGACGCTGGCGACCAAGTCCGCCGAGCGCCTCGAGCAGCTGGAGTCGATGGCGCGCCGGGCCCACGAGGCCATCTGGTATCCGTTCACGCAGCATCAGGGCATGGAGGCCAAGGACATTACGGTCATCGAGTCGGCGCACGACGACTACTTCCAGACCTTCCGGGCCGACGCGGGCCCTGAGGACAGCCTGCTGCAGTCCACCTTCGATGGCTCGGCCTCGTGGTGGACGCAGGGGCTGGGCCATGGCAATCCGGATCTCTCGCTGACGGCCGCATACGCCGCCGGACGGTATGGCCATGTCATGTTCGCGGGTGCCGTGCACGAGCCGGCCCTGGCGCTGGCCGAGCTGCTGATTTCCAGCCTGGGGAACCCCCGGCTGCGCAAGGTGTTTTACAGCGACAACGGCAGCACGGGCATGGAGGTGGCCGTCAAGATGGGCCTGCGCGCGGCGTGCTCGCGCTACGGCTGGGACGCCAGCAGGGACGAGATCAAGATCCTGGGGCTGAAGGGCAGCTACCACGGCGACACGATCGGCGTGATGGACTGCTCCGAGCCGTCGACCTACAACAAGAAAGTGGAATGGTATCGCGGCCGGGGCTTCTGGTTCGACTTTCCGCAGGTGAAGATGGTCCAAGGAATCTGGCGCGTCGAGGTGCCAGACTCTCTCAGAGAAGAGCTGGGCCCGGATCTGGAATTCTCGTCGCTCGACGCCATCTTTGACCTGGACGAGAGACAGGCGTCTGACGCGGCCCGGTGGTATCGAGCGTATATCAAGCGGACGCTGCAGGAGCTCGTCCAGAAGGGCTACAAGTTTGGAGCGCTCATCATGGAGCCGGTCATCCTGGGGGCGGGAGGAATGCTCTTTGCGTGAGTCAATTGGACGTGGAGTACTACTAATTACGCTGCTAACTGAACGAACGCAATACAGAGATCCCCTCTTCCAGCAATCCCTAGCCCTGGTCGTGAGAGAAAACCCGCAGCTGTTCGGCGACGCTCCTGCTCCATCATCGCCAACCTCCTGGTCCGGCCTGCCCGTCATCTGCGACGAGGTGTTTACGGGCCTGTACCGACTGGGCCGACGCACGTCGTCGTCGTTCCTCGGCCTTGATCCGGACATTTCGGTGCACGCCAAGCTGCTGACGGGCGGGCTGGTGCCGCTGTGCACGACGCTGGCGAGCAACGAGATCTTCGCAGCCTTCTCGAGCCCGGAGAAGAGCGACGCGCTGCTGCACGGGCACAGCTACACGGCGCACGCGGTGGGGTGCAAGGTGGCGGAGACGTCGCTGCGGACGATGATGGAGATGGAGAGGGACGGGTTCTGGGATGCGTGTAGGAAGGACTGGTCAGCCAGCCAGGGCAGCAACGGCATCTGGAGCAGCTGGTCGCAGGATCTCGTCCGCGAGCTGTCTTTCGCTCCGTCGGTAGAGGGCGTCTTTGCGCTTGGCTCGGTGCTCAGCATTACACTGCGCGATCAGACGGGTGGAGGTGCGTTCTACCAGATGAAATGACACTATTATCGCTAACCAATTCTTACAGGCTACACATCGACGGCAGCGAAAGGACTGCAGCAGAAGCTGTCCGAGGGAGTACGAGAAAGCGGTTTGAACGTGCATTCGCGCGTCCTCGGCAATGTCCTCTACCTGATGGCCAGCGTCACGTCGCGGCCAGAGTCGCTGCGGGAGATTGAGGGCTTGTTGAGGAGTGCATTGGCTGGCTGATCGATATTCGTATATACTCGTATATATTCAGTGATACGACTTTTATTGACTTGTCATTATGTTCAGCTTCTCTCATGTGGATATGAATCTCACGTATGTATATACAAAAGTCCAATATTACACTCCAATAGGATTCTTGCGTCACAAATCATTGATTCACCGGTAGACTTATCGGACTCGGCTTATCGACCTCGGTAAAGCACGGTGCCTGATGAATAATTAACTCGCACTAGAGTTTGATCGCCAGTGCACGGAACTCCGCTGCCAGCCTGCCGCTCACCGGGATCATTTAACTATGGGTCAGTGAGGGGTTCGAGATGATTCATTGACCAGTTTATAGAGAATAAGAATGCGAGTAGTTATAATAATTGTTGTATAGACTGAATTCTCTCTAGACTTGATTGAATTGTATTTCTATGCCTCCGGTCGTGTTCGGAGTTCCGGTTCGGAAGTTTCGAAACAGAACCAGAAATCTATCTCCTCGGACAGCGACAACCCTGTGAGTGTGGAGGCGTGCGTAATTCGCAAAGACAGCCACCATTCACCGTATTCATATTAGGCAGGACTCTTAGCCCACGTTGGGGTCAACAACCGAGCGAGCATTTGTGTGGCTCCGGCTTTCTTTGATCGCCGGAATTCCCCACCGCTGGCTCAGCGATAGTCCCCGCGGTCCGGAGATCCGTCATACACCACGCCAGCATCTGGGATTTCTTTTCTTTCAATTGACGAGACTTGGTCTCGTCCTCAATCACTTCAACTGCTGTACACCATGGCGCTACCGCTCACCTCCGTCGCCCGCTCCGTGCTAAGGAGATGCTACGGCACCGTCCAGGCCTCGACAGCGACAGCGTCAGCGCCCTGGACGTCGAGAATCCCGCCGGTCTTGCAAGATGCCACCGCTGCCCGGGCACCGCGCACCAACTGGACGCGCGAGGAGATCCAGCAGATCTACGATACGCCGCTGAGCGAGCTGACGCATGCGGCGGTGCGTGACTATAACGTATATCTCTGGGATTGAGAGTCAGATACTGATTGATTCCAGGCCACCGTCCACCGCCGCTTCCATGACCCCGCCGCCATCCAGATGTGCACGCTGATGAACATCAAGACCGGCGGCTGCAGCGAGGACTGCTCGTACTGCGCCCAGTCATCACGCTACAACACCGGCCTCAAACCCACCAAGCTCTCCCCCGTCGACGAGGTGCTCGCCGCCGCGCGCATTGCCAAGCAGAACGGCAGCACGCGCTTCTGCATGGGCGCCGCCTGGCGCGATATGCGCGGGCGCAAGACGAGCCTGCGCAACATCAAGGAGATGGTGGCCGGCGTGCGCGCCATGGGCATGGAGGTGTGCGTGACGCTGGGCATGATCGACGACGCGCAGGCGAAAGAGCTCAAAGACGCCGGTCTGACGGCGTACAACCACAACCTCGACACGTCGCGCGAGTTCTACCCGTCCATCATCACGTCGCGGACGTACGACGAGCGGCTGCAGACGCTGCGCCATGTGCGTGATGCCGGCATCAACGTCTGCTCCGGCGGCATCGTCGGCCTGGGCGAGGCTGATTCTGACCGCGTCGGCCTCCTGCACACCGTCGCCACGCTGCCTCAGCATCCCGAGTCGTTCCCCGTCAACGCCCTCGTCCCTATCAAGGGCACGCCCCTCGGCGACCGCAAGATGATCCCCTTCGACCGGCTGCTGCGCATGATCGCCACCGCGCGCATCGTGCTGCCTGCGACGATTGTGCGGCTGGCTGCCGGCCGCGTCAATCTGACGGAGGAGCAGCAGGTGGCCTGCTTCATGGCCGGTGCCAATGCCGTCTTCACGGGCGAGAAGATGCTGACGACGGATTGCAATGGCTGGGACCAGGACCATGCCATGTTCCAGCGCTGGGGGTTCTATCCGATGAAGAGTTTCGAGAGGCCTGTTGTCCAGGCTGAGACAGAGACAGCAGGAGCATCAGCAGGGGCATCAGCAGGAACAGAGCCAGCATCAACAGGAGCAGAAGCTGCTGCTGCTGCTAGTTGAGCTGCATTAAGTATATACCTTGGTCTTTATGACATGACGAGTGAGATGATAGAACGGTTATGTTGTGTCTACGAACTTGATCAATGCTATCAAATCTATTCAATTTATTCAATTCTCTCTCAAAGACCACATCGATACCAACACACGTACAGTACATACAGTACATCAAGTAGTAAGAAACTAGACTGCTGTATCTATTCTATTCTACTCCAGTAATGTTGATGTAGCGTACTGTACGTCAGCTTCCCCGCATTATAGTACAGTACGATGCTTATCTCCGATAACTACAATCCAATCATAGACTCTACGTCTGCCCTTGTCTGTTGACAGGACTAAATTAAATTCTCTGTTGGTGATTATCCTTGTCAGTAATATAAATAAATACATGTACAGCACATGTACGAGGAGTAGGTATCTATGTTATCACGTGTTGACTTGTCTAACTGACATCAGATAACAACATCATCAAGCTATCTCCAATCCACTCTATTCTACCTATCATCAAAGGAATAAACATGGACACTGACATCCTCATCATCGGCGCCGGCATCTTCGGCCTCAGTAGGGCTTACCACCTCGCGCAACGCTTCTCAAACGCATCCAAAGGCACAAACACAAATAAGGATGCCTGCAAAGTGACCATCCTCGACCGCGCACCCTCCCCCCCTCTCCCCCCCGCCGCCTCGACAGACATCAACAAGATCGTGCGCGCCGACTACTCGTCTCCTTTGTACATGGCGCTGGCGCACGAGGCGATGGACGCGTGGGCTGGAGGGAACCCCTTATTCCAAGACGCGGATGTCTACCACCAGACGGGGTGGGTGGTGATGGACGAGAAAGGCAGTGATCTCGCAGCGCGGATTCGTGCAAACTTCGGGAATAGTAACCGCGAGGACGTATCAGTCGACCTGAGCGAGGACGATGTCCGCACGAGCTGGAACGGACTCCTCAGCCAGGCGGAGCTGAGTGACTACGGCTCCTTCTACGCCAATCCATCTGCCGGATGGGCGGATGCGGCGCGGGCAGTCGAGCTGATGGCCGCGGAGGCGATGAAGCGAGGTAGCGTGCGGTACGAGGTCGGCGAGGTGGAGCGCATTATCCTTACTCCAGAGAGAAATGCAGTGCAGGGCATGCAGACGAAAGACGGCAGGGTGTACACAGCCCGCAAAGTCCTCCTGGCCACGGGGGCGTGGACGAGTCTGTTGATGACGGGTCTGGAAGACGAGCTGGGGCTGGAGGACGACGACCGCGTCGAGAACCAGATCACGGCTGCAGGGGTGTGTGTTGCGCATGTTCGTCTGGCGCCGGACGAGACGGCGCTGTACGGGGAGCTGCCCGTGCTGATATATGGGGAGAAAGGTACCATCCTCTACTTACACAGCTGTCCTACGAGGTAGTAGCTAACTTAACTGCCGCAGGAGAAGTGCTACCCCCGACAAAAGACGGCATCTGCAAATTCACCAACGCGCGCTCATTCAAAAACACCATCGTCACATCGACAGGGCATCGCATCTCCGTGCCGTCAGAGAACCAGAGTGAAATCCCCCCGAAACTGGCCCAAGAAACCATCACCTCCATCCGGGAGCGTCTCCCACAGGTCCTCGAAGCCAGAAAAAGTGCTGACGACATCCGTCTCTGCTGGGACGCCATCTCTCCCGACCAGAACCCGCTGATTACAAGGCATCCGGATCCGCGACTGTCGAACCTGTATCTCGCCGTGGGTGGGTCGTTCCACTGCTGGAAGTTCCTGCCCACGATTGGGCGGTATGTCGTGAATGTGTTGGAGGGGAGAAGTAATGGGGAGGAGAGGGATAGGGCGTGGAGGTGGAAGGCAGTCGTCGGTGGGAGTAAGCAGAGGGGGGTGCATGAGAAGGTGGTTCCGAGGAGGGAGTTGAGGGATTTGGAGTGATTTGAGGATGAGAATGGAGATAGTCCTACGACTAGATACCTATTTCTTGTACGGAGTACTCTAGAAAAGACGAATAAAAACAGCTCAGAGAAGAACTAAAACAGGAAAAAGAAATGAATTAACAGTAAGGAATATATTCCCACTGGAACAAGAGTACGGCATATTATATGAATATCAGCTTACTAGACATCTAGACTTGCTGTCTTCCATGTCCTCACTCATGTATTGTCTATACCATTACTATCCGCACTCTCTAACAAAGAGCTAGAGCTAGTTCTGTTAGGAACAAGTTTTTACGAAGCTGTCCAAACATAAAAGAGATAGTAGCCAGCGGACCAGAACATTATATTAGATAACTTATTGCTGCTAAGGACTTTTCCTGTCCGCTTGTATAGATTATGGTTATAATAAATAGGTAGGTAGTATTAGGACATGATAATACTAGAGGATATTCTGTTCTCGTTTCGTACGATAAATACTGGAAGAGATTTTTCGCTAGATTCAAGTGTAGCTCTGTCATCAATTTCTACTTTCTTTGTGCTGTACTTTTTAAACAAACTTGATACTATTAGTTTACTATGGCTGACCAGCGTTGTAATTTTTTTTTTAAAAAAAAAAACAAGACTGTATACTCAATTCAAATCTAAGTTCAGGGCAAGGAAAGATGCGGAAAATAATCATTATATCTCTGCACATTATATCTGTGTACAGTACTTCAGCAGGTAATTATCTCAGGATGAGAGAGTTGTACATACAAATACAAAAGACATAGTATAGTATAGATAGTGCTAATAGACACATTTTCATTCCTTATTTTTATATATTCCCAGCGAGGATACCTGCATTCTGCGAGTTACGCAAATATTAAGAAGGATAATTTTCTCAATTGTGACGAAAATTGAAATAAAAAAAAGGATCGCCTTTTATTAATCTTCCTACCAATATAGGACAGGTTAGGAGTCAAGAAAGAAAAAAAAGGAATTTAGTAAAAAGTTTAAAAGCGCAGTATTGGGTAGAGATGCAAAATGATAAGAATTTATGATTTCCATTTTCACAGGACAGTGTTGAGATTGATAGGATAGTAAGAAAAGATTGACGTATTTTCGACCGGAAGACAGGTCGAAACACTATGATAATACATCATACCAGTAAAGTTATGAATGACATTTGACAGCTGAAGAGACCCATATCAGGTCTATCGGAGATATGCAGGTCATCATGATGTAGCTAGAGAATGCCGCGGCATTCTTTGGCCGAGTTTGCTCATGCTACACCATCCGATGATACTCCCTCGTCAAGCCATCCGACTCAATGATATTCTCCGTACTCTCGCCATCAGCATGTTTGCCAGCATTGCTGCGACTGCGGTCCCTGCTCGACAGCGGAAACGACCCATCGCCCCTCCTCGACGACGATGGGTAGAGGTCCGATTCCTCGCCGTTCTGGCGCGAGGACGGGATCAGGATGGGGAAGACGTGGCGCACGAACGGCTTGAGGACGGCTAGGCAGTTGCAGATGATGCCGAAGTTCATTTCGATTGCACTAGTCAGGTAAGTATGTACGTACATACATTACAGTAAATATCTAGGTGTATGTGTTGGGGCGACTTACGACCACACGCAAACCGTGGCTTCGTACCAGGTAAAGTCGTACTTGTGCAGGATGTTCATGACATATGTGATGCGGATGATACTTGTAATCACCACCCTAGAGATTGTCAGTGGCGACTTATATTAAAACTGACAAGTTCAACTCACGCAGATCCTAACATGAAAATCAGCGCCACACCAATCTTCTGCAGAATCGGCAATTGCAGCGACCACAGCAGCGGAATTGGCAGCATCAGCATCAGGATATCCGTGGCAATGTTCAGGATCGCCTGCCACAGCGCCAGATTGTTGATGCAGGGCGTGTTCTCGGTGTTGACGGGACTGCAGCCCCCTGCGACGGCGAGGGTGGTTGCGAGGGTGTATCCGGTGACGATGAAAATGATGATGTAGACGCAGATGCGGAAATTGCGTGCGGGACTGAGTCGGTGGTAGAGCAGCAGAATGGAGAATTTGGTCATCATCGGTACCCAGCAGTAGGTCACGGCGATGGGGACGAGAAGCTGATAGACGATATTAGCCAAACGCACCCTATTCAGGAACACCCTATTAAGGATAGGCTACCTTCAAGTACACCGGAATAGCGCTGGCCGGCACATTATACAAATGTCGTCCGAAACCGTAGTTCATCGCTGGCAGGTCAGCTATGAATACAACAGACTGGGGAGCTAATAGTCATACCCTCCACGCAGAGCGCAAAAAACGCAATCGAGAACACCTGTCTGAATTAGATAGAGCAGACGTGAGATGGCAAGGAATGTCTTACTGCAGAGCTCACGACGGCCCCTGGAACGGTTAGCAGGTCTCGATAGAAAGAAGAAAGGACATACGTACAGTCATCCCATCCATAGCTATGGACAATTGCCCCTCGTGTATACAGGCGCAGCGCGAGAAGCACGATTGCGATGGCGAGCGTGACGGAGTACACCACGATGAACTTTTGCTGCACCGTCGTCCGAGTGAGAGAAAAGTCTGGAACGACGCCTGGCGGCGGCGGCATGGCGCCGACGCTTGCTGTTGAACTCATGGCACAACCACATAGGATGAGCTTCAGAGATGTAGAAAGACGGCCAGCCAGTTAGTCAGTTGTGAAGCTCTCATCGTACGCGTCGAGGCGGCAGAGGCGACATATGAAGGCGTCTGTCTCTAGCATCTACTTCTCGTACTACTTTCTACCAATTTCCGGTCCTTGGGACTGGTACATCCAAGCTAGATCCATATCGAGCATGACTCTGCAGCTGTCTTGTCTCTGGAACAGCCGTCATTTGGCCTGACAGGGATTGCGAGCGACGGCTTTTGCTCAGCCCGTGTCAGGGGGCCAAATTTGGAAATACCAAGCCAGATGACAGGTCGCCGGTGCGATTATATTCTGCTTGTCGCCAATCAAATGTAGGGCCAGTGGGTCTACGGTAGGACTGTCTTATTGTCTTGTAGGATCTGGCCCGTGTTGGCATGTTGATGTTGGCATGTTGCAGACTTTAACATGCAATTATTTAGACAGACTGTTTTGTGTTTTGACGAAATACGCAGTATCTCTGGTCTTCACATCTCTGTCTACAATCGATTTCGTCTGCCTCCAGACCTCCTACTGCTGTCGACTTCCAACAGGAATGCAAATGCAACCTAGCCCCCACGACGGAACTGCTCTCAGGAATCAACGAGTTTAGCAGCTGTCAAATCTAGCGCCGTCGCCATCCCGTCCGAGCGATGGAACTCGTCAGGCATCGGAAGGATTGAGACCCATGCTTTACTCTGTACTAACTGCTCTACTAACGTCTTAGGGCTTCGCGCACAGACTACTACTGGCCGTTTTGCATTCGTGATTGGCGAGGCTGCTGCACCGTGCAGAATCCAATGCAGCGGAAACGGTTCCCCGGAGCAAGCTTATTCTCTGCCGCTGTCAAGTGTTGGCTTGAGCTCGACTAGCCAAATGCTGTCTAGAATTCTGCATCAGATACGGAGTACAGAGGACGGTGGACCAGGGGCTAATTTAATATGACTGCAGAGTATTATTATTATTATTATTATTATTATTATTATTATCAGCTAGCGAGAACGAATGCATTCTCCCGACTGAAACAGCCGACTTCTCTCCTCCCCAACCAACATCATGGTCAAGCTGAAGCAGATACATGTTTAGTTGCTCTGCACCATGCTCACAATCCAACTGCTGGCGACAGTTAGCATCACAGCAGTTCTCCTCCATCATGTCTTCTTCAAACGCGTCGAAGTCGACCGGCGTCCCGTGTCCCTGGCAGCCATCTTTGTAGCAGCGTATTTCGCCACGGCTGCTGCGCTCTGGCGTGTGCGCGACGACGACGAAGGACTCGTCTGCGTGCTTGCATGCGCTGGGCTGATCTGGTCATGCTTCGTTGTCTCGCTATGGACGAGCATGCTGGTTTACCGCGCTTTCTTCCATCCTCTGCACAAGTTCCCTGGTCCGTTTGGGGCAAAGCTCAGCAAGCTGTGGACGCTGAGGAAGGTCGTCCAGTCCAAGCTGAGATGGTACCAAGTGCTGGATGAGCTCCACGAGAAATACGGCGATTATGTGAGGACAGGTAAGCCAGTGTCCTCGTTCGTGAGATGTTATGACGGACTGACAATACCAGGCCCCAGGGAACTGGTAATCTTTGATTCAGCCGCCATCACGCCCATCCTGGGCTTTGCTTCCGTGACGAAAAAAGGGCCATTCTACGACTCGATGGAGACTTCCGTGAACACGACCCGGGACAGGGAGTTTCACCGCAAGAGGCGCAAGATCTGGGACAATGCGTTCAAACAATGTAAGACCCGAGATCCCCTCTCCCCGAATCATCGCCTGTCTTATTTCTCTCGCTGCAAGCACTCGCGGATTACGGCCCTCGTATCGAGGGGTTTACAGACGACCTTCTCGTCCGGATTGGCAAGAATCTCGGCAAACCCATCGTGGTCAATGAGATCTGCATCCACTACAGCTACGACGTGATGAGCGCCCTGGCGTTTGGGAATCCGATGGGCTTCATCAAGGGCGACTCGAACGAGATTGCAAATTCGATCCTGTCGAATATCCAGAGGGGTGTCGATGCCATTGGCCTGTTGCTCCATGTGCCGTGGTTGATGACGACGTTGACGACGTTTTCGTGGGCGATCGGGCCCATGCGTCAGTGGAATCTGTACTCGCAGGAGCTGGTGATGCTGAGGAAGGCAGTACGTACGACATTGTATGTTATGGGATGTTTATTAACAATGCAGATGAAAAACCCGAAACCGGATCTTTTCGGCCACCTCCTCGCCAACACAGAAGATACAGCGGCAGGGCGAACTCTGCTGAATTCCGAGGCTCGTCTAATAGTCGGAGCTGGGAGGTATAAACCCAGCAGTATGATATATATGTGTGTTTCTCCCTGCTAACGACCGCAGCGACACAACCGCCACAGCCCTAACATTCCTCTTCATCCACCTCGCCCTATACCCAGAATGGCTGCAAAGACTGCGCGAGGAAATCGACCCCTTGCTCGCGACGTCGTCCAGCTTCGACTGCACGCGCTCGTACCCCGTGCTCGACGCCCTCATCAACGAGTGTATGCGGCTGCACCCGTCTGTGTTTTTCGGCTCGCAGCGAGAAACGCCTCCGGAGGGGATGACGATTGGCGAGGTATACATCCCCGGGAATACGATTGTGTCGATACCGTCGTATCAGATTGGGAGGGGTGTGTCATTAACCATAAAAAATAAAAAAAAAGAGAGAGAGAAATTACTGATATGTATGTTTCAGATGAACGCAATTTCGTCCGTGCAAAAGAATTCCTCCCCGAACGATGGCTCTCGAAGCCAGAACTGATTCTTAATCGCCACGCGCATATGCCCTTCCTGACGGGGCCCTACAGCTGTGCAGGCAGGAATCTTGCTATGATGGAGCTGAGGTCTGTGATTGCGAGGACGGTGCATGCGTTCGATATTGCTTTCCCTGATGGAACAGCGTTTGATCCTGAGGAATACTTCAGTCGTGTCAAGGACCATTTTGTGGCTGGGGCGCCGGCGCAGGAGCTTCTTTTTACGAGGAGGAGTGATAGGATGGCTGATTGAGAAGTACTTCGTACTGGGTGTATATAGCGGTATGTAACAAGCTGAGGTGTATACTTGTACTGCCTATATCAAGTCTGCTGTAGGTACTGTATGTACTGTACAGTAGACTACGTAGTATCTCTACCTAATGCTGTGCATAAATGTACCTATTCACCAACCCCACCTATACCTAGCTAAGCTAAGCTACCATTCTCCAATCCAGAGTAGTACTAGTTAGCTTTTAACGTCTCACCGCATCCTACCAAGTCGTACCAACAAGGGGAGATCGCATCGTGATTGGCTCCCGCCGAGGAGACGTTGGAGAATGCCGAGGATAACGCAGACGTGGGATAGATGGAATTGGGGATCTACTAGCTGTCTTCACTACTGACTGCTGTCTTACTCTTCACTGACTGCTGACTGACTGAAGATTACATATGTATGAAGGTCGTCACTGCATGTACGGTATGTGCATGTGCATTGGCAGATAGTGTTCCTAGCTAGATACATTATATCGGCCTTCATTGGTCTGTCTCTATTTGACAAATATTCTTACGTCCCACCATGGATCTAGGTACGAAGGAATCAGAATCAGACTCAGAATTCATAACTGATGATTACTGACAACTGACAACTCAGGAACCGCTGCCGCCGTCGCAGCCGGAGCGGCCACCGCAGCCGCCTATCTCGACGCCAAATTCCATCTGTCCAAGGACCTAGTGACGCTGCTGAACCTGCGGCGGGGGGCGAAGCGGTATGCTGAGGCTGGTACGCATACATACCGCTGTATGATGGAGATGTAGTTGCAAGCTGACATTATTTTTGTAGAGAAGCAAGGCCGCATCAACCCCTGGTTCTTCTTCGAGAACGCCGCGCGCAGAAATCCCGACACCGTCTGCATCTGGTCGCGCGAAAAGTGCTACTCGTATCGCGATGCCTATGTCCGCGCTGCTCAGTACGGGCACTACTTCCTCTCCCTCGGTGTCCAGCCCGGTCAGCTTGTTGCTTTCTATCTGATGAACAGCCCTGAGTTCCTCCTCGCTTGGCTCGGCCTGATGAGCATTGGCTGTGCGCCTGCTGCTATCAATTACAATCTCGCTGGCGATGCGCTTGTTCACTGTCTGAAGATCAGCAGCGTGTCGTTCGTTCTGGCTGATGAAGACCCCGACTGTCGCCAGCGCATCGAGGACAGTCGGGCGGCCATCGAGGAGCAGCTGGGCATGAAGATCATCCTGCTGGATTCCGCGCTGCAGGCCCATCTCGATACCTTCCCGACGTCTCCCCCAGACGAGAAATACCGGTTGAATGTCCCCGGCGAATTCCCTGCCATCCTGCTCTACACCTCCGGCACGACCGGCATGCCGAAAGGCTGCCCGTTCACCATGGCGCGGCTCTTCCAGACCGTCTTCGTGAGCAGAGGCGGCCCGCTCGACGGAAACCCGGACGAAGACCGCTGGTACAACTGCATGCCTTTGTACCACGGCACGGGCGGCATGCTGACGATTGTCTGCTTGCTGACCGGCATCCCTGTCGCCATCGGCCGCAGGTTCAGCGTCCGCACTTTCTGGTCTGACATCCGCGACTCCCAGGCTACCTGGTTCGTCTACGTCGGCGAGACGGTGCGCTACCTGCTCAACGCGCCGCCGTCGCCGCTTGACCGCGACCACCGCGTGCGCGGCATCCGGGGCAACGGGCTGCGGCCGGACGT